TAATTTTTCACGACAGAATCTGTAATGTATCTGTAACGTGTGGAGGGTGGGTTACCCCCGAGGCACTTTCGCCTCACTAGCCCAATTGTACAGTCTCCTGATGATAGGCACCTCCTAGCTCGTGAGCCAGCCTACAGATTTGATGTAGTTGACAACGTTGCCAAAAGATGCTTCTCTTGTATCAGCCGGTGTTAGCCATTACTCGCCGTACACAAATCTCCTAATAAATGAGAGCGTCGAGCAATCGTAGAGGATATGCTCGATGGTCTCATCTTCTTGTTCGCACCCTCTGCAGAGTAGGGATTCTGACAACCCCATGATATGGAGATTCTTCCGTACTTGGCAATGACCAGCCAGAATGCCTATGACTAGGCGCAGATTCTGGCTAGTCATAGTCAAGTATTTGTTTGCTGTAGTGTTGTCAGGCTGAATAGAGAAAAATAAAATAATACGTCGTTGTGGACCGTAATATCCCATGCTTGCCATCGAAAAGGCGTGGTGAAACCAATTACTCTCTTTATGCCTCTAATGTTAAAGTATAATTTATTAAGCATCTCCTCTTTATTTTGCTTGATGCATCGGTTAACGTACTGAATGTCATATACCTATTTGTCCATCAATTAAGTAGGGGAAGAGGGGGCACGGTGTTACACGGGGAACAGTGTTACGTTCAATACCACTCCCTTCCTATTTGCCAATACAACATCGGTATTGTCGCGAATGTTAGTTCTGCTTGATTCTTCGGTGTATACGTACTTATAGTGAGTTGCTGCGTCATTCATCTGAACAAGTGAGTATATTGCATTTTTTATGCCTCAAAGTAAAATATTTTAGTTATTTAAAAGTTGTCATAGCTGTTTATAGAATAAGTTCATGATTTGTGATTATAGGTTAGAGATACGGTTTTAAATAATGATATCAGCATAAGGACATAACCTTAAATATTGTTAACTTTGTGAAAATCAACTTTTGCTGGCGTGGGTACCAGCGGGGCACAGTGTTACAGGTAAACAAGGGGTACATTGTTACATGTAACACTGTGTCCCTTATAGCAAAGCAATAAGTTTAATTTAAAATTGTTCCAGAAACTTTCTATCATGGTGCGAAATAGAAAAAAACCGCGAAAAATCGGCGATTATGATGAAGAGACTATGAAAACTGCCGTACTAAACGTTATTAATAATCAAGTGCCTGTACGAAAAGCTGCAAGAGAGGGAATTTAGAGCACATGACACTCAAATATAGGAATAGAGTTCTCAAGAAGAGCGCTTACATTTCCGATTCACGCCAAGATATAATACAAATCAAGTGTTTCCCAAGGAACTGGAAGATGATTTGAGAAATTATCTTCTCATAGCATGTCGCATGAACCATGGGTTAACAAGAAAACATGTTATGACGTTGGCATTTGAATTGGCTAAACAAAATAATTTAAAATATCCAACTACATGGGACAAAAAACAGTAAGCAGGTGTTGATTGGCTATGCGGTTATTTGAAGCGGTATAAGGATTTATCAATAAGAAAAGCAGAACCTACTGGGCGTGCAACGAGTTTTAATCGAACTAATGCTGAGGAATTTTTTAATAACTTATCTAGAGCCTACAATCAATTTCCTACGGGCCCTCTTCCACAGAACATTTATAACCTAGACGACACGGCATTGACGACAGTCCACAATCCACCTATATTGGATAAAAGGGTTTCAAGCAGATTGGTCAGGTTACGTCCGGTGAACGAGGTGTCTTGGTGACAGCATGCTGTTTTATAAACGTTATAGGAAATTCAGTGCCTCCATATCTAATATTTCCACAAATACATTTTAAAGATAGAATGCTCACAGGGGTCCCTCCAGGAACTGCAGGCGGCGGCGCTGAAAAAAGTGGTTGGGTAAATGGCGAAGTGTTTATTGATATATTGAAACACTTTAATGGAGTTATAAAAAGTACACCAGATTCGCCAATACTACTCATATTTGACGACCACGAATCACATATAACAATAAGCTCGCTTGAATTTTGTAAAAGTAACGGAATTATCCTCCTAACTCTGCCTCCTCATACTAGCGGTAAACTCCAGCCACTAGACAAAACTGTATATAAATCACTCAAGACCAACTTTAACATGGCATGCAACGACTGGATGGTTATAAATGCTGGAAAAACTATTACGATATACGAATTTGCTGGGTTACTGGGAATAGCCTACCCAAGGGCATTCACGCCTAACAATATTGTTAATGGATTTAAGTGTACTGGAATTTGGCCTCTGAATAGAAATATCTTCAGCGATGATGACTTTATATGTTCATCAGTTACAGACAGACCTCAAGAAAGTTTGAATTCACTCGAAAAGCTTCAACTACCAGCTGCACAACCGACGCCACAAACATCAATATTACGGACTGTAGAACATTCACCTCCACCAGCTGTACAAGCGGCACCAGTGCCTTCAACTTCACGACAAGCACCAATATTGCGGACATTCACCTCCACCTCCACCAAAACAGTTTTCTAAACCAAGTTGAGGTGCGACCGTACCCGAAGGCCGGTGCTAGGAAGGAAACTAGGCAGAATAATAGAAAAAGAAAAAGCCAAATTCTTACTGTTACTCCTGTTAAGGATCAAATTGTAGAACATTTATAAGGAAAAAAAAGCCAGTTAAACAGAAACTGGCAAAAAGAATAAAAGAAGACACTACATCAGAATCAGAGGATGGATCAATCTCTGTTGACAATAGCAGTGCTAGCATTGGCGCTTCTGTTAGTGAGGATCAGTGTATGGGCCGAGAACCAAGCACTCCTTAAGCTTGGGAAAATACCCAAGCATCTTCCAGGCGGAAATTCACGCCATCGAGAAGTGTATCCAGTTTAACATCGAGAGAAACTGTCATAGACAAGAGATTATCATCGTGTCCGATAGTCAAGCAGCCATCAAAGCGCTGAGCTCTTACTTAATCAGCTCAAAAATGGTCTGGAGGTGCCTAGAACAATTGAATGATCTAGGCGAGAAAAATAGAGTTACTCACTTGGGTCCCGGAACATAACGGGGTACAGGGTAAGGATATTGCAGATAGTCTTGCAAGGAAAGGGGCCCAAACACCCTTTGTAGGACCTGAGCCGTTCTGCGGTATCCAGGGCCGACTAGAGGGGGGGGTAGCCGGGACTAATTCCCGGGGCCCGGGCTTAAAGGGGGGCCCGGCAACAGGTTTTTTTTGTTCTGCATGAGAAATTCGACACAAGATGAGAGAGGGAAGTTAAGTTTACATTTAAATTAAAATTAAATACAAATAGAGGAAAAGTTTTTTGATGTGAGGATTTTTTTTTTTTTTTTTTTAGAAGAAGAAGAAGCAATTGAAGTAGTGAGAATAGTTTTTTGATGTGAGGACCTTTTTTTTAGAAAAAGAAGTAATTGAAGTAGGGAGAATAGTTTTTTGATGTGAGGACCTTCTTTTTTTTTAGAAAATTCTATTTCAGTCGAAGAGGAACTAAGATTTTTTTGCCACGGGGCCCGATCTAGAGAATTGTCCTGGGGCCCGGCCTGGCTCTCGGCGGTCCTGGCGGTATCAGCAGTAACATAATATTAGGAGAGATTAAAAAAGAATTGGGCAGTAGAAGAACCGATAATTGGAACAATCTCTTGGGCCTGAGACAGGCCAAGATACTTCTGGGTGAATATAACCAGGAAAGATCGGAAGTCTGCATCTGCTTGAGCAAGAACAGGCTACGTATTGTAACGGATCCTTACCGGGCATTGCCGACTAGGACACCTAAGTAAACTGAGAGTAGAGGATAGTGAGTGTAGATTCTGTGAGGAGGAGGACGAAACCTCCATTCACATCGTAACTGAATGTGTAGCACTCCAGAATCCAAGGGCACTATATGTAGAAGGATATCAAATAGAAGAGGGAGATTTACCTAACTTGAAGCCACTTCAAATCCTACACTTCCTTGAGAAAATAGGATTGGAAGGGTCGCTATAGGCATTGAGACATTTCTTTAGTGCAGTGGCGACAGAAGGGGGCACAATAGATCTTTTAGGTCGCAGTGGATTAACACCCCATTCTCAACATAACATAACATGGTGAGGATCAGCTAGATACTAATGTGGAGAAAATTGCCGTTGGAGATTATGTCCTGATTAATGAGGGAAAAATAAAAGGTAACGATAATGTTATGTCAATAGGTAAAATTTTAACAAAATTTGATTTAGAAATTAATGTTCAGTACATCAGGCGGCTGTTTCCTAAATTTAAATTTATTGAAACTGAAGACATTTATTGTTTTGAAACTTCAAAGGTCATAGCCAAATTACTAAACGCAGAAGCCTCTGAAGGTACGGCCAGAACGTCTGAAATGTTGGTTTTTCCTGTAGATTTACATCACTACTAGTGTAGTTATTTTCACTTTCATTTTGTATTTTGTTAACATTTTCAATTTTTTTTTTAAACTTAACTTTATAACTTAACTTTATAAATAAAACATTATTAATATCTAAATTTTTAGTAAATTTATAACCTGTAACAGTGTGCTCCACCATATGTAACAAGGTGCCCCACTAATGGGGAACAGTGTTACAATTGACTTCGACTACCGTTTTTATTTTTACAAATCTATAGTAATAATTAGGAGGATACTTTTTTTTCCTAATAGTAACTGAAGGTGCTTTTATTACATTGCCGTTTTTGTAAAATGAAATTTAAAAAAATTAGTAGTAAAAAAAAATCTAAGAAGAAATAGGTAACAACGTCTCCCTCTTCCCCTACTTTATCAGGAACTTCATAGGTATGATAAGTTATCTATCAGCTAAGACCAAATAGAAGTAAAAAGATGACTTTTTAAATTATCTGGAAGATAAAAATTACCTGACTATTCAACTGAAGGTAAACATACCGACTCTAGTTCAATCTCTTTATTTTGAGTCGTTTATAATTTAAAGATCCATTTTCGGTATTTTTCTTCTACTTGGCAACTCCGCACGAACGTTTCTTGAGATAATTAAAATCGTTCGAAAAATGCTTCATTTACAAAATACGTATTTACCGAATAAGAGTGTACCTAATTATATAATATAAACAGAATTATGTATTATCATTGAATAATATTTCATTGTAGAAACAAATCGAGATCACTGACCGTTGTGAATAATAAACGAAGATAAACTGTCAGATTCTCCGACTGAGGTAATTTGAATTGATAACATTTTTAAATTGAATTTAATTAACAAGTAGGTATACTCACTTTTAAATTTGACTTTTTTGTTTCACTTTTAGTAAAACGCTTTTTAAGTATACAGTAAAGGCTAAATAAATTTAAATAGGTAAATGTTTTAATTTTCTTATAGAGAGTTTTACTTTGGCTTTTTGAATATTGATTTAACATATTAATAATCTCAAATATATTATATTATACTATTTTTAGCGGTTAATTTGATTTTATCTATTCAATCTTAATTTCTTTTCGTTTAATATATATTTGGAACAGTTGGATTTTGTTTGAGCAACACATACACAGTGTGTATAAAAAATAACGTAACTTTGCTATTATTTCGATTTCTAAAAGGTTTACAGAAAAAAATGAAATTAAAGTTTTATGAAATAAATCAAGTTAGTATAAGTCAATTAGAAATATACTGGGTGCACCATTACTGTAAAATAACGCAAGGATATATTTTTAAATAGTAAGTGTTTTCGAACTAATAAAGATCGCACTATGTGGTTTTAACAGATAAATTCTAAATTTGAGTACCTACTAGAAGCAGCAAAAAATATACAGAGTACTACTCATTTAAAAAATAAATCATTGCGTTATTTTGTAGTAATAATGGTGCATACGGTATATTTCTTATTAACTTATAATGTTAACTTGATTTATTGCGTAAAATTTCTATCTGAAACTTCTTTTTAAACCTATTAGAAACCGAGCTAATAAGCATCTCAAATAATATCAGGTGCTTTTTGACAACCATATTATAATATTTTTAAAAAGTATATATAAACTAACAAATTTTATTTTAGATTTTAAACATTTTAAGATCCGACAAACTCATGACTCATAATGACTTATTGGTTTAGATTTGTGTCCCTGACACTATTGAATTTATATAATCTAGTATTTAATATTTATCCTGTCACCACTCAAATATCAAGACCGCATATCATTTTTATAATTGCTGATGATTTGGTGAGTACATTTTTCATTATACCAGTTGTGGAAAGTCATTTAGTGCGAAATTTCAGGAATGCGTTTAGAAACCTCGCACGGCGCCTCTGGACCCTATTCTAATGTATGTGGTGAGACGCGCTATGCGGGGTTTCTAAACGCACTCCAATATTGGCGCTTCAAATTAATTTTCGCGCGCCTGTCATTTGTCACCTATAAGTAGGATGTTTGATTTACATGATTTTGTTTTGGGCGGATTTTGTATTTGTGATTATTTTTAACTGTTTTTAGATAATATTCTCATTGTTATAGTGTTTTTGAGTTTCATTTAGTGTTAATTTAAGTTTAAGTCTCGTGCTTTCGTCATAAATATAATAATTATCATGTGTATGACTTAATTTGTTGGAAATATTCACGTATTGGTTGCTACAAGAACATCTAGAAATATGTATTCACTAAACCCAGGACATGTTTTATTATGTGGTTTAAAGGACATTTCAGGTACCACACGTTTATTATTGATGAACTTATTTAAAAATCTTACTAGACTTATTCTTTTATATTATGAAGTGAATCATGTAGTACTTTGTATACATGTAAATGGTAATAAAACCGTCACAAATCAGATTACAGTTTGATTCTAAACAAAGTTTTGTAAAATTTTAATATTGTGAATTTATAGATATCCATTTATCGTAAAAAACAAAATTTTACGACTTGCACTTGGAAAATAATGAATACTGCAGTTTTGATTTTGACATTAACACCATATAGATTGCAATTTTCTGGGGACTTTTTCGCAGATTTCATTTTTAAAAAATGTAATTAAACAATGAACACGAACGCCAATGTTGCCAAATGATGAACTGATTTTAAAACAAAATTAATAAATGAACTGAAATTTAAAAAAAATCAATATAATAAATCGGTTTTATAAAAAAATCCTTAAATAAATATAGAGTATGATTACATATTACCATACACAAATTTTAATTTTTAAATAAAATTTCTTATCCACTTGTGAGTGAAGTGATATAAAGTAATACCACTTTCGCCATATTGATATGAAATTTGTATGTGTAGATGTCATTACATTGTGTTTTTTATTATAATGTAGAAACGTATCTTTAAAAACAATAATAAATTAATACCTATAATAAATAAAATAATGATGAAGAAATTTTGAGGAATAACATATACCAACGTGAAGTGTATACAAAAACATATCCATACTCTAGAAAATTGGAATTTTAATTTGCAAAAAAAAACAGGTAACTTATTTAAATTAATGTACAAAATGATTTTTGTCAAGATCAAGGTGTCGCATATCAAATCGAAAATCAATAATTGTAAACTCGAAGTGATGCAAACAAGAACAATGAATAGGGAGGTACTATAAGTTAATATAGGTACCTACAACGCGATTTGGAATCTTAATTTACGAGATTTTTGTGGTGAATATGTTTCCGAGTAAACAATGTCAATTGCAGCAAGCTTTAACTGAAATAACACTACTAAGAAAACAAAATGAGACATTAGAGGAGCAAAACAAAGTTTTAGCACAGTTAAAGACGAAAGAAAACATGAAAAAGAAAATAATTGTAGTCCACTCAACTCAGATGATAAAGAAAAATCAGTCGCCAGAGAAAAGGATGGGCTTATGCCTAAATTAAAAAAAAAACAAGCGTAACGCAACAGAATCATCGGAGAAAATCGAAAAAGAGATCTAGAACTCTAACATCAGCCACACCGGTCATTTTAAGCTATAAAAACTATAATCTAGTCAATGAAAACATAAAACCTGGAAATTGTGAATATGACAATTATGATAAATAACCAATATTAATGACATCTCTGATGTTGAGTATAGAAAATTAACGGCTCTAATGAATGGGACGGACTTTGAATGGCACATCATACATATACGAGAACAAAGCTTCCAGATCTATTAAAGTGATGGTAAAAAATTTGCACCCGTCAACTTCTGCAAATGATATCGCCCAAGAATTAAAGGAAAGTAGTTTCAAGATTTAGAAACTAATTAAAAAAGAGAACCACAGTCAATAATAAAATTATTGAATATATTAGTCTATCACTATGTGCTAGTATTTGATCATACCGAGGATATCAACTAAATTTTCATTATTCAGAATCTAAACCATATGTAGATTAAAATGGTGACAATAAGAAATAAATTCATACCACAGTGTAAAAGATGCCAGAGATATGGACATACACACAGATATTCTGAAACAGGCTACACGGCCTGTGTTAAGTGTGCTGGTTATCACAAGACAGCTAAATATACTGAGTTTAGGAATACTCCTTCAAAAAAGGAGAGATATTGTATCTAAAGCTAAGAAACATACTTCCCAATCAAAAGCGATTGATCCAGACGCAGTCAGATCTGGGGTCTTTTTTTCACAAATAGCTTAAAATGTACCATAGTAGAACCTCCATCTGCTTCACCATCGACAGATTTAGTTAGCTTACATCTTATACATAGTATCATGAAAACTTTATGACTTTTAAAGATGTAAGAATCGCTACATGCCATGTCAATTGCCTTGTCAACAAAAAATATGACTCGAAAGTCTTCCTTAACTCCCAGCATACATATGAGACACAATATGATAAGTTACTCTTATATTAAGACAAGAGGTTATAAAATATACCATACTATTCATCCAGACGATCAAGCCAAAGGGGGTAATGCTGTTATAATTAAAAAATAAATAATTTTGAAGAATGTCACTTACAACGGGTTGATATCCAACTACAAAACAAAAATTAAACATTGGTGCAGTTTACTGTCTACCCAGGCACAATCTTAAGGAAGAAGATTACCTAACCCTTCCGCAACATCCTGAAGAAGGGTTTATCGACGGAGGGACCTTAAATCTAAACATATTGACTGGGGATCCTGATTAACTACGACAAAAGGTATTAAATTAGAAAAAGCTGTCCATCAACAGAATTACAAAAATTATTATTCTACAACCTACTTACTGGTCCATGGATCCCAACAAAATCTTGAGTGAAACAGTTATTAAAAGAGCAACCCGACCAACTCTTACCAACAAACCTACTAATTGGGAAAGCTTTAGAAATAGAACTTTAAAACAACTGAATAAGTTGATGAAGAAGCTGAAAACTTTACCAAAACAACTGCTTACAATAAACTAAAGAAAAAACCCATTTGACAAAGGCAATTAGCTACCCTGTTGAGATCAGAGAACTTGTTAGAAAAAAAAGAGAGCAAAAAAAAAAGATGGCAACGATCTAGAGATTGATCTGATAAGTCTATTTTAAACAATAAAACCCAAAACTGGGAAGAGCCATTCAAAAAATCAAGGAATAATAAACAAACTCATGCCTACATAACCTCTCGCCAGATGAAGAGATATTTTACTTTCTCTTGGAAAGCCACTAGAAATAGTAAAGACCTATTACTATTAGCTTCATCCCTTAATCAGATGCAGGAAGAAAATAGTTTTCCTATAATAGACAATCGGAAATCCTGGAACATCACCATTGTTCCACCGAAAGAAATAGCAGAAGAGATTAAAACTAACCTATATCCGAAGAATGACTGGTGAAATAATGAAGCAATTGCCTAGAAAAGGTAGCTTACAGACTAAAACATGTTCCTGTATGCTGGAAAAATGCAGAGGTAATAATATTGCTAAAACCAGGAAAACCGCTGAGCGATCTTACTAATTGTGTTAAAATTATTTGAAACACTACTGCTAGAGATTAATACGACTGATGGAGGATAAAAAATTGATACCTAATTTCCAATTCGGGTTTCGACGAAAACTTTCTACTATTAAATTGAATCAATATTGCATTGAATCACAGATGTCATAGAGTATGTCCTTGAAACTATACCAGTTCGCTCTGAAATAGTTTTATACTTTGCTCTCAAGGTAAGGCATGAAAAATTGGTCCACAAATTAAGAAAAAAGCTTTTGAAGTCGTATGTAGAGATTAAAACATCATATATCTCAAACAGGCTTTTCAGAATTTAGCAGAAAGACAAATATTCTAATTTAAAAGAACTAAGAGCTGGAGTGGCTCAAGAAAGTGTTCTAGGACCCATCTTACACTTATTCTATACTCTCGTGACTTGTCAACTCTGGGAGATATGACTGTTGTTACATTCACTGATGACACTGCCCTCAGGGCCGACTAGAGGGGGGGGGGGTAGCCGGGACTAATTCCCGGGGCCCGGGCTCAAATGGGGGCCCGACAGCGGTGGTGTTTGTTACTTTCAGAAATTTGACACAAGAGGGGGAAGTCCTTACCTCTTGCAAGTGGAGGAGGAGAGAAGAAATTTTTGTTTGATGACCCTTTGTTATTTAATGTTTTATAAAATTGTCGTGGGGCCCGATCTGGAGAATTGTCCTGGGGCCCGGTCTGGCTCTCGGCGGCTCTGACTGCCCTTGCAGTTGATCAGGAACAAGGAAGGTCAGTAAGTAAACTTTTTAAAAATGTTTTAATACACTACCGTTACTAGCACCAATGGAGCCAATTACTTAGTAAGATGATAAACTTATACAACATTCCATCCCATTTTGTGCTTCTCACCTCCCTAAATACTTGTCATGTTTATTATAGAGGATAATGGATTTATAAACCCTTAAAATTGTATCACCCCGTGTAATAACAAGTATGGCACTTTCGGAGAGTTTCCTTTCCTCAAAAAAATGCTATATATATCTTGTCCAAGGTGTACAGAAAAACATGCTGTAAAAGAATGTAAGGCTTCAGTTCATGAATTAAAATGTATAAATTATGTAAAGGTGATGGAACGGGATTCTCTAGTTCAAATTAATGTAAATCATGCTGCATCGGACACCCATTGTAATTCTTATCAACGTCATATAGATGAATTAAAATCTTCACTTTATGTAGCATAGCAATCGCAAATGAGTCAGTCGGATGTATTAACCATTGGTGGTACAGCTCTACACCCGCAAAATAATTCATTTAATATTTATAATAAAAACTTGACCTGCTATCTGTATTATCAGAATGTCCGTGGAATTAGAACTAAAATAAATACCGTTTAATTGTTTTCTCTTCAATCCGATTTTGATTTTATAGCATTGACAGACACTTGGTTAAACGAATCTTTTCGTGGCTGTGAGATATTTTCCGATAATTATCATGTATATAGAAAGGATAGATCTACTTCTCGAGTTAAATTAAATTACGGTGGGGGTGTTTTGCTTAGCTGACAATAAAAAATTTATTAGTAATGAAATAGATCTAACATTTATTAGCGATATTATTCCAATTATTGATATTCTAGGCACTACGATTACATTAAATTATTACAAAATATTAATACTACTTGTTTACATTCCTCCAAGTCTTAAAGTTGTTGATTATGAAGCCTTATTTGGTTGTCTCTCCACCTTAAATTTTGTTGATTACGAGAAAGTATTTATTTTAGGACACTTTAACGTCCCTCAGTATGTTAATATGGCACCTCTCACTGGTCAACTAGTTGAATTAAATGCTTTCGTACATCTTAACGATTTAAAACAATATAATGATATATTTAACATAAAGAATCGATTATTAGACCTAGTTTTTTTGTAATGAATCATGCACTGTTGAAAGGGTATATGATTTGATGGTTCCTGAAGATGTCTCGCAACCTGCTTTAAATATTAATTTTCAAATATCTAATCCTCGTAGTAAACCTAATCCAGTAAATAAAAATTTACAGTATAACTTTCGTAAAGCTAATTATATGATGTTATATCAACTAATAGCTTCATGTGACTGGTCTTTTCTCAATAATGTGAATAATATTGAAACTTCATGTAAGTTATTTTATGAACAACTACATGGTATGATGGGTATATGTATTCCCAAATATGTTTCAACTGCAAGAAAATACCCTGCAAGGTTCAACGGACCTATTATTAGAGATATTAAAAAGAAATAGTGGGAAATTTTGGTCATACGTAAATTCTAAAAGGAAAGATGGTGGAATACCTGAATTTATGACTTATGATGATTTAAATCTTTTAAATATGCAGGATATTGTAAATGGATTTGCTACTTACTTTAAAAACTCCTACAGAAATTCATCAAATTTTGATGTTGACTTTGAGAGTGATTTATCAAATAATTGACATGTGCATATAGCTGAATTTAAAGAATCCGATGTGTCGAAGGTAATATTGAAGTTAAAATCTAAATTTACTAAGGGACCAGATAATATACCATCCTTCATGGTTCGCGATTGTTCCCATGCGTTAGCTGTTCCTTTAAATAAAATATTTAATTTGTCACTGCGTACTGGTACATTTCCTAATGCATGGAAGAGGTCAAGAATCTGTCCTGTTTTTAAAAAAGTTAAAAAAATTGTATCGAAACTATCGACCCATCACTATTATATGTAATTTTGCCAAAGTTTTTGAAATTTTACTATACGATAATATAATACCACACGTCAAACATCAGATAGTAGAAGAACAACATGGTTTTTGTAAGAACAGGTCAACAATAACAAATCTTTTCTCATTTACACAATACAGTTCTACAATAGTTGATGGCGGCGCGGCGGTCAACTAGACGTAATATATGCAGATTTTCCTAAGGCTTTCGACAAATTCGATCATAAAATATTACTTCAAAAGCTTAGCAAGTTTGGATTGTCTAAGCCTGTCATACATTTTTTCAATCTTACTTGACAAACAGAACCCAGTTTGTTGAAGTGCGTGGATTTGAGTCTGTCGATATCTTAGTAACCTCTGGCGTACCTCAAGGCTCGATTCTGGGACCGCTTTTATTTATACTATTCGTAAATGACATCATTAATGACGTTAACGTAAAATATTTAATTTATGCAGACGATGTCAAAATTTTTTATCAGGAAGATATCTTAAATGATTGTCTTAAATTACAAAGTAATATTGATAAAATAAATAATTGGTGTTTAATAAATAATCTTCCATTAAATTCAAAAAAATGTAATATAGTGTCATATACCAAAAAAGATTTTCCAATTCTCTATAACTACTGTTTGGATGATGTTATATTAAATAGGCCTGATTTTATTATAGATCTTGGGGTAAAGTTCGATAGAAAACTTACTTTTAATGAACATCTAAATGACGTGGTAAAAGCATCATTCAGAAATTTGGGATTTATCATTAGGCATGCAGTTGACCTCAATTCTATAGAAACCATGAATATGTTGTATAATGCGTTCGTCAAATCAAAATTAGAATATGCTTCAATAATATGGAAACCATTTTATTATTTTCACATAAGCGCTCTTGAAAACGTTCAAAGACGATATCTAAAATTCTTGACATTTAAGATAGACGGAACATATCCACCAATTGGGATAAATCACACGTTACTTTTAAATAGATTTCAAACGCAAAGCTTAGAATGTAGACGAAAAAATCAGTCGGTAATATTCCTCTATAAACTTATTAACTACCAAATTGATTGTTCCGAGTTATTAGAACAACTTGTATTTAAAGTGCCAAGAATTGAATCTCTAAACAACTTAATGTTTTATCTGCCGCTATCTCGGACAAATTTATTAAAAAACTCGCCGCTGTATTTTATGTGTGAAAACTGCAACCCTGCAAGGTAGAATTGATTTATTTTCTTGTAAGCTTTCGCAGCTCAAAAAATTGTAAAGCTGTTGCAGTACTATTTGCTTGTGTATAGTCATTAATTTATTTTATTTTTGTCATATATTATGTAATTTTTGTTATATTGTGTAATTTATGTTATATCCAAATTATGTCTTATTGTGCAATATGTTATATTTATATTTACTTTTGTAATTACAATTTTTTTTCCTGCTCTATAACTAGGCATTTAGCCTGTAGAGCAGTGTATTTAATAAATAAATAAAATAAAAATAAGTAAAAGATTGGTGGAAACGTCATTTCAAAAATTAATCACTATTATACAGGTTTAAAAATGGTCAAAAATGGTCAAGTCAGTACATAATCCTTATTTATTATTATAATCCCTATTAAGTTATTCTCAATAAAACATTTAGCTTGGTGTGTTTTAGGGGTGGAATGACGTAGGTTTTCACGGTTCAAACCAAATTCCAACACCCAACATTGATGCTCTTGCATACTCAGGTTTAATCCTAAACAACTACTACGTCACCGCGATATGTACTCCTTCCAGAAGTGCCTTAATGACCGGGAAATACCCCATTCACAATGGAATGCAGCACACCGTTTTATATGGTGCCGAACCTAGGGGTTTGCCTTTAAATGAGAAATTGTTGCCACAGTATTTGCAAGAGCTTGGATATGAGAACCACATTGTGGGAAAATGGCATTTGGGATCTTATAGAAAGGAGTACCTACCAATGTTTAGGGGATTCAAGTCGCACCTTGGTAAATATATTACGTGTAATCAATAAAAAAAAGTTACTAAAGTAAGCCATGACAGACAAAGATATGTCGTTTAAAAATGTATAAAAATTGTAAGCGCCCACATGAGTATTTGTTTTACATGCCAACTTTAGAATTATTTTTGGTAAATCACCCCGGTGAATTTTAAAAAACCATTTTGTAGAGCTTTTAAAAAGAAATTTAATGATACAAACCATTTATTTCTAGTTTAAATCATATTCAAGTTATTTAACAAAAACACTTGTTTATGTTAAAATTTCCCCAAATTTGATCTGGAAACCTTATTTTCTGGCCTTATGGACAACTCAGCGGTGACTTTTAAAAAACCATTTTGTAGAGTTTCTAAAGAAAAATTTAATGATGCAAATCACTTCTTCCTAGTTTAAACAATAGTCAAGATATTTAACAAAAACATTTCTGTTAAAATTCATGTTCTTGAAGTTCATGCTTTATAAGGAGTGGTCCACAAAAATTGTTTCTAAATCTAAAGTAGGACTTGGAAAAATTAACGTATCAAGCGTACAATTCTTCTTTTTAATTGTCACTTTGGATTTAAGTTGTGTCACGGACATGATTCATATCTCTGTCTTTGTCTGTTACTAGTGCGGGCTGGGAGCTTAAATGAGCAGTTTATGAGAAATACGCAATACGCCATTTTAGTGGTGATGTAATCATTTTGGTTTCACTTTGGTTTCACATTTAAGTTTACCCAAATTATATTGTTTTTTCACTTTTATAAATATACATAACTTCCTTTATTAATTTTTATTAGTTTTATTGATTTTTATTCATTTTTATTCATTTTTATTTATTTTTAGTCACTTTTATTCATTTCATTTTTATTCATTTTTATTCATTTTTATTCATTTTTATTCATTTTTATTCATTTTTATTCATTTTTATTCATTTTTATTCATTTTTATTCATTTTTATTCATTTTTATTCATTTTTATTCATTTTTATTCATTTTTATTCATTTTTATTCATTTTTATTCATTTTTATTCATTTTTATTCATTTTTATTCATTTTTATTCATTTTTATTCATTTTTATTCATTTTTATTCATTTTTATTCATTTTTATTCATTTTTATTCATTTTTATTCATTTTTATTCATTTTTATTCATTTTTATTCATTTTTATTCATTTTTATTCATTTTTATTCATTTTTATTCATTTTTATTCATTTTTATTCATTTTTATTCATTTTTATTCATTTTTATTCATTTTTATTCATTTTTATTCATTTTTATTCATTTTTATTCATTTTTATTCATTTTTATTCATTTTTATTCATTTTTATTCATTTTTATTCATTTTTATTCATTTTTATTCATTTTTATTCATTTTTATTCATTTTTATTCATTTTTATTCATTTTTATTCATTTTTATTCATTTTTATTCATTTTTATTCATTTTTATTCATTTTTATTCATTTTTATTCATTTTTATTCATTTTTATTCATTTTTATTCATTTTTATTCATTTTTATTCATTTTTATTCATTTTTATTCATTTTTATTCATTTTTATTCATTTTTATTCATTTTTATTCATTTTTATTCATTTTTATTCATTTTTATTCATTTTTATTCATTTTTATTCATTTTTATTCATTTTTATTAATTTTTATTAATTTTTATTAATTAATTTTTATTAATTTTTATTAATTTTTATTAATTTTTATTAATTTTTATTAATTTTTATTAATTTTTATTAATTTTTATTAATTTTTATTAATTTTTATTAATTTTTATTAATTTTTATTAATTTTTATTAATTTTTATTAATTTTTATTAATTTTTATTAATTTTTATTAATTTTTATTAATTTTTATTAATTTTTATTAATTTTTATTAATTTTTATTAATTTTTATTAATTTTTATTAATTTTTATTAATTTTTATTAATTTTTATTAATTTTTATTAATTTTTATTAATTTTTATTAATTTTTATTAATTTTTATTAATTTTTATTAATTTTTATTAATTTTTATTAATTTTTATTAATTTTTATTAATTTTTATTAATTTTTATTAATTTTTATTAATTTTTATTAATTTTTATTAATTTTTATTAATTTTTATTAATTTTTATTAATTTTTATTAATTTTTATTAATTTTTATTAATTTTTATTAATTTTTATTAATTTTTATTAATTTTTATTAATTTTTATTAATTTTTATTAATTTTTATTAATTTTTATTAATTTTTATTAATTTTTATTAATTTTTATTAATTTTTATTAATTTTTATTAATTTTTATTAATTTTTATTAATTTTTATTAATTTTTATTAATTTTTATTAATTTTTAATAATTTTTTTTTTATTTTAAAGTATTTTAGTTTATTTTTATGATACCATAAAAAAATCTAAAAACCACAGAGCACGTCATTATTTATTTATGCTACAATTATAATTTCCAACCTTCAAAAAATGTATACTTCTATACAAATTTTTACCCCCCATTTCCCCCCTTAAAATGTTAATATGCAAAAACTTTGAAACACTTATTTATTTATGACGAGAAACTTCAATTCCAATTTTCAAGTTCCTACCTTTAAAAAAAATCGATATTTTCAAATAAACTTTCACCCCCCGTTTTCCCACCTTAAAATGTGAAAATCCAAAAACCCTAAAACACGTCAGTCATTATTAATTTGTACTCATTCGCTGCAATTCCAATTTGCAGTTTCTAACTTCAATGAGAACAAATAAATATATATACTCCCATACAAACTTTCACCCCCTTTTGCCCCCCTTAAGATGTAAAAATATAGAAACCCTAAAACACATTATTAAATTGTACTCAGTAGCTGCAATTTCAATTTTCGTGTTTCTAACTTTAAAGAGAACCAAAAACATGGAAACTCCCAAATACATTTTAACCCACTTTCCCCCCCCCCCCCTTAAAATGTGAAAATCCGAAAACGCTGAAACACGTCATTAATAATTTGTAGTCAGTAGCTGCAATTCCAATTTTCATGTTTCTAACTTCAAAGAGAACAAAAAAAATCGATAGTCCCATACAAACTTTCACTCCCCGTTTTTCACCCTTAAAATGTGAAAATCCAGAAACCCTGAAACACGTCATTATTTATTTATGCTTAGTAGCTGTAATTTAAATTTTCATGTTTCTAACTTTAAAGAACAAAAAATTTCATTAAAAGCTCCCTTCCCCCCATTTCCCCCCTTTGAAGTTAAAATTTCCAAAAATCCTTCCTTAGCGGATGCTTACGTTATAAACTAAACCTATGTTGAAAAATTTCAGCTTTTAAGGCTCAGTAGTTTTGGCTTTACGTTGATAGGTCAGTCAGAACAAACAATTTTATAAATATAAATTCACAAAGTAAGTAGATAACTTGCATCAAATATACAATCGTTTAGTTACCAATTACATACCTTTAATAGTACATTATATACCTAGGGTGAGAAGTGAGGTATTATTTACCGAGCACTTTTATATCCTGAGGCGCGTAGCGCCGAGGGATATAATGTGCGAGGTAAATAATAGCTTTCTCAGCCGAGGTATATATAGAATTTTTTTTACTACTAACATTAATGTATTAGCAATTTTAATTTTGACATAAGTAATTTCCTACCAATTTGTTAAATATTTCGAAATATCAAGCAGACTGGAGCGTGTTTCTAATCAGACTGGCTTTATTTATGTAAAAATTTGGCATGTGTCAAATTTTGTTGTAAAAATTTGGCATGTGTCAAATTTTGTTATGATTCTAGGAAATATCCCATTGCATTTTTGATATTTTAATGACATGGATTTATTGTTATTAATTAATAATTTTTAAAGCCGGTGTTGAATTTCCTAGTTAATATATATTTTTACTGTTTACACTGATATATATTATCATATTTGATTTGATTAGATTTGATAAACCCAGCTTTAGTTATTTCCTACTTATTTTTCAAATATTTCAAAATATCAAGTAGTCTGGGAGTTTAGTTGTCAAATTAACAAAATGAAACTAATGAAATTTAGTTTCATTATTTACCTAGGTTTTTTTTTATTATCATTATTTACCTAGGGAGAGAAATATTACTTCTCATTAGAGGAATGGAGTAAATAATGGTGATTTCTCATGTTAGTAGTAAAAAAACTATTTTTTATGACCTGCAAACAATATTTAGAAAAAAACTTAAAACAGTAAAAACGTATATGTCAAATTTATTGATGTTTTTGTAAAAAGTTTGGTTAGAATTAAATGTCACTGGAACCAAAATGACATCACACTAAACTAGCATATTAGGAAATTCAACAACCTGCCGGAATGGAAAAAAATGACCGTTGCTTATTAAACACAACAAAATTTGTTACCTGGCTTTTTCTTTAGTATGCTATTGTAAATCATACAATTAATATCCATTTATTCTAAATAAATATCAATTTATGACCTTTTTCAACTAAATACAATAAAAAAAATAATACACAAACATACTGACAATCGCACTAGAAGTGTTTTGTCAAGAGAAACATTTTCTTTTGTTGTTTTTGACAAGATTCCACCATTTAAAAACACGTGATTTGGATTTACCTAAGTGTCAATAACTTTTTGTCCAAACAGTGGTTCTACTGTTTAATAACAAAATACCATATTTTTAGGATCTTGGACAGGTCACCACGACTACAACGATCACACTGCCGTGGAATCACCTGGTTGGGGTTTGGACATGAGACGAAACATGTCAGTGGCATACGACCTACACGGAAAATATTCTACTGACGTTTTCACTCAGGAGTCAGTCAAAATTATCAAAAACCACAACACCACTAAACCACTCTTTTTGTATTTGGCCCACACAGCCGTCCATTCTGGAAATCCTTACAATCCGCTTCCAGCTCCAGATGATGTCGTAAAGAGATTTTCGTACATTAACAATAATTATAATAGACAAAAATTTGCTGGTAGGTACAAAATATTTCTTAACTGCATGTATTACCAAAACCAATTGAAAATATATTTGGCAGATATGGAAAATAATGTACTGATATAGTATATTACATTACGAGTGTGGAAAGTGACATTTTTCACACGAGTGGGAAATATAGTCGCACGAGGCGCAAGCCGAGTGCGACTATCACACAAGTGATGTACAATATTTTTCCTACGACCACAAAATAATGTCATCAAAAAAATGTAAAACCAAGGTTATTATTACTATAATAATTAAAATGTATTTAAAAAAATAATCAACAATAATCGTATTTATTCAATTTTCATATTTTCTAAACAAAAAAAACTAAAAAAAATAAAAAAAAAATTAAAAAAAATAAAAAAAAACAAAAAAAAAATTCTGCCCCGACAGGATTTGAACCATAGATTGAACGCGGTCGAAAAATGGCAAAATTGATAAGTTCGACGTCCTAACCAGCTGAGCTAACAGCCCTTGTGTCAATTGAATGATCTAATCGGTTATGTATTTAACCAAAATAAAGAGCAAACATTATTTTAAAATTATTTTAATAATAATTGTTAAAGATAAATATCTAGGATCTAATTTACAACAATTTCAATAATTTAACAATCATATCGATTTTAGTATTAATATGGATATTACATAGATCAAAATAGAAATTAGCTTACAAAATAATATCAAAAAAATGTAAAACCAAGGTTATTATTACTATATTAATTAAAATGTATTTAAAAAAATAATCAACAATAATCGTATTTATTCAATTTTCATATTTTCTAAACAAAAAAAACTAATAAAAAATAAAAAAAAAACAAAAAAAAAATTCGGCTCCGCCAGGATTTGAACCATAGATTGAACGCGGTCAAAAAATGGCAAAGTTGATAAGTTCGACGTCTAAACCAACTGAGCTAATGGGCCTTACGTCAATTGAATGATCTAATCGGTTATGTATTTACCCAAATTAAAGAGCAAACATAATCTTAGTTATTTTAAAATTATTTTAATAATAATTGTTAAAGATAAATAATTTAATAATCATATCGATTTTAGTATTAATATGGACATTACATAGATCAAAATAGAAATTAGGCGTTTGACATTTTTTGACAACTACTGCGGAAAGTAACATATTCTCACTTGGGTGGAAAGTAAATTCTTAGTCATACGCGTGTGATATAGGACACTTTCCATAGGACTATATAGTGTGATATGTGTCACTTTCCTAAGTGGTCGTAGGAAAAAGTAATTTTTACGCAGATCTACAAGAGCGTAAGGGAACCCGATAAATAATATGAGATGAATAAAGCGAGATATATGCTCCCTGCCACCATACCTCCCTGGGTCCCTTGCCTAGTATAATAAATAGAAGATCAGTTTAATGGAAATTTAATGGTGATCTCGATCATTTTAAAAAATTATTAAAAGCATTTTTTTATTTTCGAGTTACCTAGCATAATTTGTTATTTTTTATTGCGCTCATCTTTGATTTTAACATTATATTATTTCGCTCTAAATTACCTTGTAAACGATGTGCTACATTTCAAATTTTTAAGAATCGCATTAAATTCATAAAAACCAAACTTTTCCTTAGTTTGGCAACATCACATCCGTCTAAAATTGCCCGTCGCACACAAAAGTCATTTAGTGTAAACAGTAAACAAACTACTTTAATTATTATAAAAATCAAGATATGGAATTTTAATTTTTTGTGTTTAAGGTTGATACATGGATTATAAGTTTGCCAAAAAATAATAAATATATTTTTCTTTGAAATACCTATAAAAGGTTTTATTTACTATAAAAGTAAAAGTAAATTAATTAGATATCTAACATTTTTAGCCCGAAGGTCATAAATACATTTGGCAACTCGACGAAAAAATCGAAAATTTTTAATTCAATTTTATGTTATACATAATCTCTACCATAAGTATTCCAATGATGTGTACATGTTTAAAGGAAAATAAATACCTATTAATTATTATTAATCTAATTTAAAATGAATGGGGTTTTTTAACTAAAAACCACGTATCTGATATTTTTTGCAATTAAATTTAAATTATTGGATAATAAAAAAGCAAATTAGAATTAATAGTTTAATAAATACAAAAATTTAAACTTATTTTTTTTAATATTATCAATTTCAAATAATATTAAAAATGACTTGTGATATTGGAAAAATGAATATCTCCACATGGTAGGCCATGATTACTTCAGGCATGTTTATGTGGTGGTAATCATAGCCCTCAGAAAGTCTAGATACCGCTTGGCGTATACTGTCAATACAAAAAAATGACCCCATTCAAGCTTGTCGCCATGTTAGGTAAATTTATGTTTTGGCTACACTGATTTTTAGTTTGTGTGTTCTGTAATACGTGAACACCGATAATCTGCACTTTGTTATTAGCTATAAGTGAGTGAGACGCACAATTTCTAATTTCAAATTAAGAACAAAACTTTGACAAACCTATTTGATTTTCCTAGATCTGTTCAGACAGGACCGGTTTTATAAAATTTCTCGTTCTTGAAATGTTATTTTTACATGGTTATATATTATTGGATAAGTGGTTTGTGTACATATTGCTATGAGGATTATAGAGAAATTCAGTGAGATTTATGTAATATAATTCAAATTACAAGTAAACCATCTGTTCCTATTTGGCAATATGGAGAAAATACCTACTTCAATGTCAAATGTACTATTTAAAAGAATGTTAACCGGTCATTTATTTATATTATATTATGAAAATAAAAACTCGAATTTTTTAACTAGGGAAAGATATACTTACATCGGTAACAAGGTATTTTTAGAAAAACTAATAGATTTCTCCTATTCCTATAGTTTATTTGAAAATGAATAATAGCAAAATTATATAAAAATATGGACCATTGCCATAAAAACTGTGCTACCAAGCATTTTCAAATAAACTATGATAATTTGATTTAATAGAGCGAGTATAAGATCTCACCTGTTAGAGAAATTGGGGCATAGGGAAGAGATTATGAAGCAGGTAAGCAAAGTCATTGCAAAAGATAAATATATAGAAGTTATTTTAAAAATTTGATAAAAAAACTAGTGGAACAACAAATGGAGTTGTCGCTATCGGAGATCCAATCAGCAGAAAGTAAAAAAAAAAACTTTGGGAATGTTGGAAAAGAGCCCAGCAATAGGCCCAAAACAATTCCTTGGTTTTTTAATAAATATAATCTGAGATGCAAAAAATACTGCTAGAGTGGAGAAGCAGTATTGTTCTAATGTAGAAAACCCAGGGACATACAGCAGTGCACTAACCATAGGCGAATAGTACCTAAATTATACAAGAGTCCCATCTCGATTTTATTTTTAAATATTTTTGAGAATACCTATTATTATTTGTTACATTGAGTTTAATAAAACCACAGATTTCGAATGTATTGAAAGTTATTTAAAAAGTACTTCTATAAATATATAGAAAATGTGTATATGACTAACTGGTTTTATTAATCTTTTTTTGGGGTAGATAAATATATTTTGAAAAATTTACAAACTTCTTTTGAATAAAAGACAAAATATTTCTGTTTTTATTAACTGAACAATATTTTATACGAACATAATATATACCTATTTAAAAGAAAATATTACATTTTACAAGTATCGCATATTTATATGAAATAACTTACTCAATAAGAAAGAATTAAATGAAACAAATTAATAAACAATGGATATGAAAAATTGCTTTAACAATTTAATCCTTAGATAAACTTATTCTTACATATTGCTTTAATCAATTTATTTACTATAAAATTATCTTTCCTATCATTTATTACATATAATAAAATAAAGCATAAAACATACAAACTATAATATGTACCTACTTAGAACGGAACTAATATTATTGTATCAAGGTAGTAATAGTGGACATTTTCCGAATAAAAAAAAGTAAAAAAGAAGTAACGGTCGACACGTTTTTCTGTGACTATTGGTCTTCATCAGTACGGTGCAGCCAAGTTCAAAGGATCATGGAATTTGTGTTGGAAAAATTGTACAATAGGTCACTAACAAGGAGCCAATAACACATTTGCCGTTTCAGCTAATATCCCCAAATTTTCTGGGCTTATACTAAAGTCACAAAATGATTCAATGGTCTTCCTATGGCTATCAGTTATTCTTTCCTAACATTTTTTGGTATGCTACAACAAAACATACAAATTATTTGATTTTGTAAATACACAAATATTTGTGAAAACTTACACATGAAATGTTATTCCTTCCTTGTATCTTCTACCGTTAGATGCATTGTTACATTCACGTACAAAACAAAAAGAGATTTTGAAAATCCTGTAAAAATTTAACACCAAACCACAAATGTTTTTTATTAAAATAAAACACTAAACGACTAAACTAAAAAATAATGTTTTAAATAAAACCTTTACTAGAAGAACAAAATAAACAACACAACAGATAATAAAATCGATTATATACGTCGAACGCCGATCTTACGCTTATTCTAAACTTGCGCCGATTCTGTCTTGTCGGTAGTGCCAACTTAAAATTTATTGACATTTATTTATCATGGCGCCCATCATATGGGGGGTCAAAATGTTTTTACGATGCGGTATCTAGACCTTCTGAGGGCTATGGGTGGTAATATATGTATTAGTCCTTTATCTGAATGCAAAACATTCCATGTTATGTTTTTGCTTGCTATTTGTAGTTGGGTACAGGAAAGGAGGGTGAACAACATACACTATGTCCCTATGGTGAGAGCTGTCCTGTAACCTTTCAAATTCAAAATAATGTTGCTTGTCGATGGATTTTTTTGCAGGCAATGAAATAATTAGCTTCTAGTTGTTTATAACAATATAAAAATTCCTTTGCAAACCTTTTCTGACGCCGGGTTTTGCTACTTCCGATTTAGGAAAATCGCTACACTTACACCGAAAATAGTAAAACCGGACGACAAAAAATTCTTGCCAATTGATTTTCATTGTATACACATCTTGAAGCATATT